TGTAGACATGTTTTGGTTGAAATACAATTGATGTTTCTGATGTTCCCGGAATTTTAGTAATGAACCTCAGTTAATTACAAGTAGAATCAACTCCACTTGGAAAAATATCGGGAAAATATAGTGGGTCATATTCAACTATAATCTCATCGCGAATTGATCTATTAAGAAATTCAAATGATGAATTTGTTAGTTTTAGTCTTTCTCACATTTTAGTAATTAGAACGTATCATTCAATGTACAAATTTCATTTGACATCCACGCACAATAGATCGTAGGTCTCATTATAGTAGAAGCCACAACAATATATGAAATTATATACCACGCAGCAGAATAAATTCCCGATATTTATTTCCTAGGTTTTCCTAATGTTTTCGTTGTTAGAAAACTATCCCGAGTCGTAGACCATGAAAAAACTTATCTGTAATAATGGACGAGTGAACTGATAATGCATTATTGGCATTATGATACTCCACTGTGTCGTTAGGAACCTGAATTGATTTTTGCAACACTTCGCACGCTTTTTTCATGTATTAAATGAGCGTATGCGTTGTTAGAAATTGTTGATTTTCAGAGCTCATTTCAAACGTAACGTCATGCCCGCCATTTGGCCATGTTCTGCGATACGTCGGATGAATGGCGGAGTCAGTTTTTATACTGTTTCGTTGTTGGACAGGTAAACTTCAATTCTCACTCATGAAGCAAGGTTGTCAAGTCACCAATTATAATCAAGTAATCAAAAGATGATAGAGTCCTGTCGTATAATGAAACATAATAGGAGGAAGCCATGATATTAAAGTTTATTTTCGACTTTTTTCAGCAATCAACATTTCCAAATTTTTTTAAACCTCATGAAGAAATATCATAACATTATGCTGAATGCTGAGAACTGACAAGACAACGACCACAATTCATGCGCCGTATCGTCACGTTTACCGGTTCGAATAATGTCTAGTGAGAGTGAATATAAGTACTAATAACACAAATTTATTATCAGCAATAAGCCACAAATTAGATTTTTGATTGCTAATCAGGAGTATTACTAATGAATCATTGAGAATTTGTGAATTATTGAATAACTAATATGTTTGAAGCTCCCAATCATATCTCAACATATGGTAACATTGATATGGTCAGTTTATATTTGCGGTGAATTTCTAGCCATTTTGAAATAACCGTGTTATCATTGGTGATTTTTGCAACTTGAAATGTATTGAAATTTTTCGGAAAAATATGGAATTGGAAGGTATTTGAATGATCATTCAATTTAAGAAATATAAAAAAACAATTAGTCCACCTGCCCATTTTGCTGCTATGGAGATTATAAGTAGTGACGTAATCATTTATATTTTCACGAGAATAGACTGATAATGAGATTCAAATGAAACATCAATATATTGACATGCAAATCGTTACTTGTTATTGGCTTGGCAAAAACTGTTGATAAATATTTATGAATTCTGCATGCTTCTGGAAGATGATCCTCTGTCGATCTAATATGCATTCACCTGGAAATCTCATTGATGTATTAAATGTATTCAACCTGCTTTTCCATCAGAATATGCTTTAGTTGATATATCGATCTCGTTCAATTGCCAGATTATCCATCATTCTATCAGATATTTCGTTTATCAAATAAACAAGTATCGCTGGGAGTATAGGTTACCTACATTAGTTTGTTAATGGATTTTCGGAATAGCAGATTCTTTGGAAATAACTGGTGGGTGATGATATATTTTTCAGGTCGAGATGAAAGTTTTTTTTTCGATTAACATGTGTCGCGAGATGTGTTCTCAAATATTATTTGTTCTACAGAGCGTTCAGATTCCAATATCTTCAGAGTTTTCTTTTTATTGCCGATTCAGTTTTTGACATAGGTATTCCATCAACTGTGACATGAGCTCTCTTTCGTTGAGGAGTCGATGTGATTACCCCATAAATTGAAAGAGCTATGGAATAACTCAACAAACCTCGAAACTGAAATTACACCGAGAGAAATATCTATTAGCTGTTATACGAGACTTTATAACCTCCAAAATCTTCATGAATTGAATAGGCGCCAGCTGTTATATCAATTTCATCATTCCAGAAAAATCATATAACTGTGAAACAACATTTATACGAGAATGAAATGACGCTCATATAGGGGACAAATAATAAGCATTTCAATATTTCAATAGTGATATGATGAAAACAAAATAATTTTCATATATAATTTGCTCTCAATTTAATAGTCGAATAATTGGACTTTTGGTATTTGGGAGTTAAATTAATTAAAAAAATTTAAAGTGTTGAAGATCGTCAAAAAATATTGAAGACAAATCTACTTAGTTTATATTCTTACCCCCAAGTAGAGTTTCTTATTGAAATTACAGGGCATTGAAGTGTATCAGAAGGACGAGACACTCAGTATGAAATATCTCAATTTGCCTATGGAGGAAATGCTTTAAATTAGGAGTATTTGTTTTTTTTCTCACTACCTTGGATTATTAGTAAAGCCACAAATTCATACGGTGGCGTCAGTCGATAAGGGTGCACGAATCACGAGACGCAAACGGAAAACCTTCATTTCCCCTGATGAATTGTTGGCTAGAATTCTCATCAATTTTCAAGCAGCAAATGAAATTATACATCCTCATCTTGGACACACTAACATACGTAATACAATCTATCACCGATATAACTGTCTAAATCCAAGCCCTTGTCACTTGAGTGAATAATGAACTGGTTTAAAAATACAAAATTTTATCCAAATTGAGAGTTTTTGAAACATCACCGATTTATCGTGAGAACACCATAACGGCTTGATGCAGTTCCACTTCCTGTAGTTCCTCAACAAATCCTCAACTTGAAGGTATATGATCTTGTTCTCTTCCAGAATTCCCATTTCTTCCCAGGAAACTAAGAAATCACGGCATAGGCAGGTCAATGCTGTCAATGTAGATCTTGCTGAAATCACAGCCTGGGGAACAAACGACCTAGTTGAATTCAACGCCACCAAAGCTCAAGCCTGCATTTTCTCTAGAAAGGCGGAACTCAGTATGCCCGATATTGTAATGTCTGGCTCCATCATCCCCACCAAGCCCACCATATCTATGCTCGGTATTTCCATCAGCAACACTCTTTCATGGGATAATCATGTCAGATCCATCGCAAAAGCTGCTTCACAAAAACTCGGATTCTTGTTCCGTGCGAAAAGCTACTTTACACCTCAACAGCTTCTCATGATCTACAAAGCGCAGATACGGCCTGTTCTAGAATACTGTTCCCACATATGGGGTTCAGCACCAAAACATACGCTGATGCACTTAGATTCCATCCAGAGAAGAGCCATTCGCCTGGTGGGTGAGGCCACACTCACTCACTCTTTGACATCATTGGAACACCGTAGAAAGTTCGGCGACCTTTCACTTTTCTATCGATACTTCCACGGGAAATGTTCTTCGGAAATCTCTGCTATCATCCCTTCACTAGCAATACCAATCAGACGAACTAGACAAGCCCAGTCAGCACATCCTTTCGTTGTCAACCTCGAAAGATGTCGAACAGCACTTCATCAAGACTCCTTCATCCATAGAACGGCTAGGCTCTGGAATTCATTGCCTGTGGAAGTATTCCCAACAACATACAATCTCCAAACGTTCAAAAAAAATTCCAATACCTACCTCCTGTCCCTATCCTCTCTAGGAACGCCGCACGATGTTCTTTGAACATTATAGGGATTCCCTTTCGTGCGCTCCGAGCGATAAAAGAAATATATTCGTAAAATTTATTTCTTCTCACATATCAGGTCTCCGGAGACGACTGGCGATTCTGATGAAACAAGTGTTCATAACTGAGTGAGATGACTCATTGTGGTAAACGCGTATGACAAAGATGGTGGATAAAGAAGGGATGGAACTCAAATAGGTAATACTTGTATAACTGTAAAATGACATCTTTTGAGGTTCAAACGATTATATTCCATTTTTTAACTATAATCTTGTTCCATTTCATGTCTATGAGGCGAAGCAAAAAGAGTTTTTAGAAGAGGTGACCTGTTTCACGTTCACGAATAACTGGATTTTTCTCGGTGTAGTTATTTGAAATCTTTTTACTGAATTCCGAAGCACGCTCTATATGTATATTTGATAATCTCTATTGAATATCATATTTCATAATGGTTTTCTGATGAAAAATAGCCTTTATCATCATCAGAGGAATTAGGGCATGGTTTGTGACGGTTTGGACTCCGAGAAGAGTTCAGTAAACTTGTTACATCCTCTAGAATCTCTAGATTATGAATGGTTTCTTAATTTGAAACGGTGTCGATGTATCCTTCTCAGGTTCATCTGAGCCTCCTTCCTGAAATTGTCTATGAGATATCTATTATTGATTCTTTCGAGAAGGAGAATGAAAATTTGATAAGTATCCATAATGGTACATCTGAGTTTTTCTGGGAGTAGTTCTTTGAGAATGTTGAGCAAGGTTCTTACGAAAATCATAGTAAACCATTTCGAGAATTCACTTCGGAAAAAAGCTTAAAAGCAAATAAGAACAGATTTCAAATATTCATGAAAGTAGGGGCGCAGAAATTGCAGAATTGCATGGCGTATACTATTGCTATCCACTTCTTCTGACATTGATATATCATTTTCTTAGAATCAGGTATAATCATTTCATATCGTCATGATTGAGTCTTTTTGAATCTCAATAAATTGTATCTTCTAGTTTCATAGGAACTGATCATCCATTATTATTTTTCCATTTCTTCTTTCATTTCCACACGAACGTTAAAAATTTGAATATAATCGATAATTGAGCGATTATTCACGATGAGGATGCGACAAATAACGAATGATATTAATAATTCCTTCCTTTGATTGATAATTCTTCAAATTCAAAACCTGCATCAGATTCCATACGACAATCGAATACTACCAGACTGAATCACTTCAAACCATACTGCACGCGCTGCACTTACATTCATGAACTCTGATTGTTTCGAACAAGTAGGAATTCACCGGAGGCATTTCCATTTCAATTAAAATCTGTCGATCGCAAAAAAGTTGTTTGCTGCTACATAACTTACATGCCGACAGAACTCGAACGGTTATACAAAAGTCGCGACAAATTGTTTTTGTGTCGAATTCAAGGAAGCCTTGGGTAGTTGGAAATAACGCGTTGATTCCTTGACAAAAGATCGCAAAAAATTGTGTTATCTGCGATCAAACTCTGTATCCTTGAAGTTTCATACGAACTCAATCGATATTCAGAATGAAGATTGAAATTTTCGACTAGTTTTCTACAAACAAGCAGAATTATCCGATTGGGGCACAGGGGTTTATAGATTCGACTTAATCCCAAGGTATGGTTGTTCAAACGATCTACTCATACACCTTCGCACTTTTGCTACTGGTTGGCTCCAAGGAGTAGATCGTCCTCCTGTCCTTCGGGGCATTCGATATAATAATATAACATGTTTTATGATTGTTATAGGAGATTTGATTGAAGAATATGGAATTGTGGCCTGATGGATATAATCTTCTACGATACGATTTCACCAGGTTCATAATATCTGCTATCCAAATCGTTCAGAGTTCCTAATCTAGTCTCATATTTCGTGAAGCTCTCCATTTAGAGTAATGAGGATGATGCTTACTATTGAGAATGCTTCGCAGTACCAAGTCATTGTCAATTCTCAATTTCAGAAGATCTTCATTTTTCATGCTCTCCTTTTGATTATTTAACAGATATGATTTGATATTCGACGTGTCAAATAGCTAGGAAAGTAGTTGTTTTCTGTTGACTACTCAGAATCATATTATGTGCATATACATACTTTTATCAGAGAAGATGAGCGAATTCTTGACTTCAGAATAATTTGTCTTCAAATTCTAATGGTGTGTATTCAATAGATATAATTCAATGTTCGTAGAGGCATATAGCCGGAAAAGTGGTTGTTTCCTGTTGAATAAACCGGGAAAGAATTCATATTTTCATCGCATAGACGATGCGAATTCCCAATGTATTTCTTTGTAAATATATCCATTTCTCCATGTTCATAATTTATCTGAGAATATTGTTTTTCAATAACTCCACCCAACTGGTACTGGTACTGGTGGGGGACGTTTGCACGTCAGCAGCTAGTCCCTAATGGGACCTTTCTGCAAACCCCGAGTGTTTTCAATGACTGATATGGTTCGCTCAAGAGAGCTGGCTAACATCCTTTTCAGGCACCGCCCATCAGCTCTCTTTCAGAGTTTTTTGGCTGTGTTTTGTAGGCTAGTAATGTACTCACTACCATATGTGCAGTGGCAGGCCTGCTAGCTATCCTCGTTAACCCCCGAGGTCCACTGAGCAGCTGGCCCGCTCTCACGCTCAGCTGGTAGTTTTCCACACCCACCTACATACACCGTCCTACTTCTTCTCTGATGCTCACAACCACATCATCATTTCTTTCTGTGTGTTCTGTGTAGGCTTTGTTACTAACTCCATGCGCCACTTTAGAAGCCGCACTGTTAATCAGAACGCAACAGCGAATCGTGCAGGACTATCCCCAGCCGATGCTCCGGAACTTTACAATATTCGATTCGTGAATGGAATATTGAAAAAAGTTTCTTGCTCGTGCTGGAAATCGAACCCACGACCTTGCGGTCGTGAGACGGACGCTCTTCCACTGTGCCAATCCCGGCTAACTTCACCCAATCCAGGAGTTCAAACTTGAACGATGGAAATTTGTATTTTCATAGACCTTCAATCGCTGAATCGTGATCAGGTTTTTTCAATTCAGATCTTTTTTTCACGACCTGTATGATGAACATGTTTTTGTCATACAACCAAAAACACCTTGCATCTTGCCGTTACGACATTTTTCTACTGAGCAAACTCAACTTATCTTGCAGTGTTCTATAGCCACACTAGCAAGGAGGTCACCTCTTTTTCAAACACCCTGTATCATCTGGGAAGTTCACTTCATTTGCAGATGACACCACGATATATATTGATATTCTTATCTGAAGCTATGTTCCAACAAGATTGATAATGTGTTGTTCATTGAATTTCCAAGTCTTTATACAGATACTGAATTGAAATTCAATGAACATGTCATCAAACTTTCTAAGGAGCTATCCTCAGGCTGCTCTGCCATTAGAATTATATCATATTATGCGGGTTTTGCTGCGCCAAAATCTGCTAATTATGCGCTAATTGGATCACATTTGCGCTATGAAACAGCATTCTGGGTGGGGTATAGAAAGCACAATCAAGTGATAGATAGTGCATGTCCTCAAAAAAATAGATATTAGGGCACTTTGTGAGGTTAAACCTGGCCACTAGGTTGGGTCACTCGTCATAATTCATAGAATCCTCATGGTAATCCCGAGTCCCATATTGGAAATCTCTACTCAGTCCAGAGGTATCCTGACAAATATAGTTTATCATCATCCAAATATGAAACTCGATCATCAATACAACTACTACTACGTCATTATATGATGGATTAACATCACTTCATTGCTTGTCATTTCATTTCATAGATGTAGAAGCGTATGTGAGATCAAAAAGGACGCTGAAATACTTCTGCAGTTCAGAGGATGATAAACTATTCATTTCTGACAAATCCTCCAAAACTGGTCGATTTTTATTCTCAATTCGCCCTATTTATAGGAAAAATGCATGAAACATTATAAGAATTAGACCAGCAAGAAGAATATTTCACAATATTCAGGCTGAACCACCCAGTATCTACAGAGTTTATATGTCTGCAGAAAGTGAAAATTCAGCAAGAGATGTAAACAAGACATGGCCGAGCATTCCGGGATGTTTTCAAAGTCAAATTGCTCGTAACGGCGGAGCAAAGAAAGAGTCGAAATCCCTTGGGAGACGGTGAAAAGGGAAAGTTTAATCCCATGCCATATTAGGTTTGTGATATATTTAAATCGCCAGTCGATAGAGGAGTCTGCATTATTTTCCAGACGACTTCTGCTTACGTCTGTTTGCAATCGAATTAAGTGCCAGTTTCTTAAAATTGGAATAGTTTCACTGAAAGTCTTGTGTTTCAAGTGAGATGATTTCGTTTCCCATTTCTGTTGTGTTTCAACTAATTATATCAATCCTGGATCCTGGATATTGTTCACATGGCGGTATGCCTTGTAAGCAACAAATTTCAAGTGACTCAAATCTATAACACGAGGGTTCAGTGCTTATAGAAACCAAAATATTCATCTCCGAAGCTAAATTGAAGATATTATTATTCGTTATACGTCGGATAATACATGAAGATCTTGTTGTGTCGCCTTCTTGTGGCATAGTTCTGAGGTAGGGTCACGCCATACACAGCAGTGCACTATGTCATCTATAGGCAACATGTGAAGATCCCAACGTCTACACCTTGTCTACACGTTACCACGATTAAGAGTTTCGTTCAGTATCAGTTTCACTTATTCCTGAATATGAAAGCATTATGACAGTCATTTTGTTCCATCTTTGATTAAACTATCGATGAAAAAGCGGAATACAAAAATGAATCCAATGAATCCAATCACTTGCCGAAATACAGAAACGAACACATGTTTCCGACTATCAATACATATATTCCAACCAATCAGAAACGTGTATTTCAAAATGAGTGCATGGAATGATCACAAGAATGTCCCACAATGATGGAAATATCCGAAATTGGGAAGTCGAAGTGTTCCATCCCTTCGAACAAAAGAAAAAGCATTTTTAGCACATATATCATACACTATTTTTTCTACTAACACCATTAAAAGACCAAATTAACGCATAACTATTTCACATTACTTATTAATTGATTGAATAACAGCCTCGAGATTATCAGTTTTGAATCCAATTCAATCTAATCTATTCATGAAACAAGTAACCAAGGTAAACAAAAATTGAATTTGTTGATTCATCTTTCTTGACAACTAACGTCAATAAATCACGAATTATTCTTTCTCGTTTCTTCGTTCCTCGATGGAAAGTGCCCAAGAAAATGAATTTCTTCTGCCGCAAATTGAAGAAGCTGCCAATAAAGCTGTTTTTGAATAATTGCCTAGTAGATTGTAGATTGTAGATTGGTAGATGAGTCGTATAGGCTGGGAGACCTCTCGATCACTGCGACCTAGAAGATCTATTGTGATTACCCCTATCTAGTTTTGGTCCTCTAACCCTAGACTTCTGATGAAGCCCACGATTTTCCTGACGGTTGAATTTTCCACTCCAGCAGTGGTGAGATAGACCTGTTCTAGGTGGTTCAGCCTTTGGCGGACTAATACTTCACATGAGCTAAGAATGTGTTCCGTGGTTTCGGTCGCATTGTTACAAAAGCGGCAGGTGTCAGTCTCCGCCAGGTCCATCTTTTTGGGGTGGTACCTCAGAGGGCCGTGTCCTGTGAGAAAGCCTGTGATAAGTTTTAGCTCTGGTTTGCTGAGGCTGAGTAGCTCTTTGGCTCGGATCTGCGAATGGTTGATGAACCTTTTCGCTTGTCGTTGACCTGAAGTTGCTCTCCAGTAGGAGGACTCTTCAATTTCTTCCCATTTCCAGAGTTATCCCTTTAGGTGACATTTGCTTATTCCACAAAAAGGCTCAGGGTCAAAAAGTGCAGACGCTGCACCTTTTTTTTGGAAGGCGATCAGCTGCCTCATTTCCTTTGATTCCTTCATGCCCTGGAACCCACATAAGTGTGACTTTGTTGTCCTTTCCCAGTTGCATGAGTGTTTCAAAGCAGTCCCATGTGCCAAGAAACTGTTGTATCGTCTGTAAACAACGTGAAGTTTCCAGAGATATCAAGGCTAGTCATATCGTTGATATAAAGTAAAAAGAGAATAGGGCCCAGTACTGACCCCTGGGGGACCCCACTCACAATTGTTTTTTCTTCAGAACAGTTTCCTCCCATTATCTCCGATTCCGACCAGTAAGGTATGATCTGAACCAATCCAGAGTTGTAACAACTAAGATCGGCTGTCATATCTATCTTTCTTCCAACTTTGATAGTTAATATATTCCGTTGGCGAGAAGCTATCATGTTGCGGTT